CTTGTTTGTTCATTGCAGCACTCTTTACAATATTCAGAATCTGAAAAAAAAATCTGAGTGCCCAAGAACAGATGACTGGTTAAAGAAACTTTGGTACATCTACACAATGGAGTACTATGTAGCTGTTAGAAAAGAGGAAGTCATGAAATTTTCATACAAGTGGTACTACATGGAAAGTATCATGCTAAGCGAAATGAGTCAGAAGGAGATTAATAGAAAGATTGCATTCATCTGGGGAACAAAAAGTAATAAAATCGGAGGTTAACACCCAAGAATAGCCGAGATAAGTACCAGGAAGTTCACACCATGCCTTGGAGGCCATGCTAGGGGAAAAGGCAGCTCAGATAGAGAAGGGAGCACCAAATAAAGGGTGTTGGGAGGATCCTCCCAGGATGGGAGATGCATGCTGAAAGTAGACTGTAGACCAAACATGATTGCCGCTCAATGCCTTTTTTGCAAACCACAGTACCCAAAAGGAGAGAGAGAGGACAAAAGGGAATGCCCTGCCACAGAGGCAGGGTGGGATGGGGGCAGATGGGGGTGGTGGGAGTGATACTGGGATCAGTGGTGGTGGAGAATGGGCACTGGTGGAGGGATGAGTACCCAATCATTGTATAACTGAAACCCAGGCACAAAAATGTGTAAGTCTACAACTGTACCTCATGGTGTTTCACTAATAAGAATTTTAAAAAATAAATAAAACGGAAATATAAAGTAGGGTGGATTTCTAAAATGAAATAATAGCCACTAGGGGGCACTGTAGCCCTCTGATTGCAGTAAAGATTAATCAACACTATTTTGGGTTTTTTGGGTCACACCCAGCAGTGCTTAGGGCTTCTGGCTCTAAATTTAGGGATCACTCCTGGGGGTGGGATGAAGTGGGGGGGGGTCCGGAAACCATATGTGGTGGTGGGGATCAAATCTGCCTCTGAAGCCTGCAAGGCAAGTGCCTTACCCATTGTGCTATCACTAGGGCCTTTCAACAAACATTTTTTAAATCTTACAATATTCTGCTTTATACTGGGACTCTCAGGGAAATGTTTACTCACCTGATCAAATCATTCATTTTCTGGTGGCCTTAGGGTAAGTCAGTCTCTCTGGTTTTCAGTTTCCATATCTGAAAACTATGGGTTTGGTGACATGATTTCGAAACTGCGGATCCTAAAAAAATTTCTTTTTCGTATTACCTTAAAAGCAGAATGACATTTAGAAAAGCATTTAAAAATTGTACTTCCTGTACCAAGCCCATTCAGTCTGGTTTCTTCCCTATCTTTTCTTATTTCTACTTTCCCAGCAACTATCTAAGCGGCACTGTTAATTTTTCTGTCTCAAAACCCTTCCTTGGCGAGCACACCAAGGACCAAGTGCAGCAGCTGGAGCATAGGCTTTGATTGCCAGCACCACCATGTTGGTCCGAACCAAGCAACCAGGCATCTTTCCAGACAGCTCTCTTCTTTGGAGGGTTGGATGTGCCTACTTCTGGCAGTGCTCAGGGCTGACTGTACTCAGGGATCTCTCCTGGGAGTGGTTGGAGGCCAACACGCAGTGCCAGGGATCAAACCCAGGCCTCTGTGTGCAAGGTAAATGCCTTACCCTTACACTCTCTCTCCAACCCTTCCATATTGACATCTGGCAATAACAGGACACTCCCAGAGCACTCCCCAAGGATTTTTTTTTCTGGGGAGGGGCCACAGCAAGCAGTGTTCAGGCCTTACACCTGGTTCTGCATTCAGGTCACTCCTGGTGGACATATGAGGTGCTGGGAATTAAATCTAGGTCAGCCACGTGCAAGGTAAACAAACACCTAATTTGCTGTAGTCTCTCTCTCTGGCCCCGCATTTTCCAAGTTTTACCAATTATTTTCTCTTTGGTTTACACAACAGATTTATAGAACCTGCTAAGGAAACTTAGCTCGAAAAGAGTTTGGTGAATTTTCCGCTTGACATACAATGACTCCAATACCTGCATCCTTCATAAGTCTTCCTTATCAATAGGAGGATACAAGCTTTGGAGAACCTGAAGTGTACACACTTATTCTGCCTGTATTATTTTTAAACTGCTATAGAAAATTACTGAAAATTTTACGACAATAAAATTTATTATTTGAAGTTTTGTAGATCAGAAGTCCAGCATTAATCTTGGCTTGACAAAAATCAAGTCCAGGGGCCAGAGTAATAACACAGCAGGTAGGATGTTTGCCTTGCACGTGCTGATCTGTGTTCGATGCCTGGCATCCCATATGGTCCCCCAAGCACCGCCAGGAGTGATTCCTGAGTGCAGAGGCAGAAGTAAGTTTTGATCATTTCCAGGCTTGCCCCTACCCCCCCAAAAAAAACTAATAAAAAAGCTAAAAAAATTATATCAGGGAAGAGAAAGCATAAGGTTAAGGTGCTTACCTTATTTTTGGCCACTCTAATTTGAATCTTTGGCTCCAAATATTGTCCCCTGAGACCTCCATATATGGTTCCATCCCCCCCAAAAAACCCAAAAATACTACATTAACTTAAAAAATAGAATACGTTATGAAATCCAAGGTCATTAGATTTATCTCTAAAAAGAAAAAAACTTGGTTTTCCTGTTTTAAGAGTTTTGAAAGTTTAGTTCTCTAGCTCTTAGATAAGTACACCTGGCAGTGCTCAGCGCTCAGTGCTCAGGGGACCAGGTGGCGCTGTGGATGGCATGCAGGATTCCCATCATGCATAGTATGTTCTCTGGTTCTCGGAGCCACTTCCCCGGCCCTATTTCATACACATATACATACACATATATATTAATATATCATATATTTATATGTACATGCAAAATATATTTTTCTCTTTGATTTACACAACATATCAGATTTGTAGATACTGTGCTTGCAAACCTTTTGAGGAAACTTAGCTTGAGAAGAGTTTCTTGAATTTTTCACTTGACATAGCTAGATATTTATAGCACCAGACTTTTCAATTCCTATGCATATATAATAAAATTATGTTTTATTTTATATATTTAAGTTTATTTCATCCATTGAATAATTTATGGATATGGGAACCACTGACAATAGGAAATGAAGGAAAAGAAAATGCTGTTAGAATATGGTTTTATTTATATTTTTTATTTCATAAACTCTGAAATCCAACAAGACTCGAGGGCTGGGGGTGGGACAGGAAAATACGAAGCCCAAACAACCACAGAAAGAGCACAATATAAAATTTCAATACATATAGAATTATGTCTTTATATGTATATGTATATAAAGGATGTTAGGAGGGGCATAATTCAACTGTAGGCTTTTGAGTTGTCACAGCATTATTTGTCGGACTTCTCTTATTTCATTTTTTAAATTTTTAAAAGCTTTTTATTTTTAATTCTTTTTTAATGAATCACTGTGAAATACAGTTACAGACTTACAAACTTTGATGATTATGTTTCAATCATACCATGATCCAGTACCCATCTCTCCACCAGTGCCATTCTCCACCACCAGTGTTCCCAGTATTCCTCCTGCCACTCCCACTCCATTCCCACTCTTCCAACCTCCCACCCCCACCCCCGCCTCTGTGGCAGGCACATTCCCTTTTGTTTTCGCTCTCCTTTTGGGTGTTATGGTTTGCAATACAGGTAGTAAGTGGCCATCATGTTTGGTCTATAGTCTACTTTCAGCGCACATCTACTATCCCAAGCGATCCCTCCAATCATCATTTACTTAGTGGTTCTTTCTCTATTCCAGCTCCTTTTCTCCCAGCATGTGAGACCGGCTTCCAAGCCGTGGAGTGATCTTCCTGGCCCTTATCTCTACTATCACTGGGTGTTAGTCTCCCATTCTGTTACTTTATATTTCAAAAATGGGTGGAGTCATTCTATGTTTGTCCCTCTCTCTGACTCATTTTGCTTAGCATGATTCTTTCCATGTTGATCCACTTATATGCAAGATTCATTTCATCTTTTCTAACAGCTGCATAGTATTCCACTGTGTAGATGTACCAAAGTTTCTTTAACCAGTCATCTGTTTCTTATTTCATTGGTCTTCGAGCCCTTTTTGAAAACCCCCTTGGCCCAGGTAGGTTGGGATTGGGAGGGAAACTGGGGATATTGGTGGAGGGAAAGACACACTGGTTGTGTGAAGGAACACTGAATATTGTATAATGAACAACTTAAAATTGTGTAATGAAAATTATGGTGTTTTTAATAAAAATCAATTAAAAAAACCCTTGGCCATATATTTACTTCTGGGTTCTTGATTCTATTGGCCTGTTTGTCTATTCTAATGCCAGTAGAGTCTGTTTTGATTACTGCAGTATTGTAATAAGTTTTGTAATTACTCATTATGAATCTTTCAACTTTGTTCTTCCTCAATAGTGTTTTGAGTATTTGCAGTTTTGTGTGATTCCATATGAATTTGAAAATCAGATTTTCATCTTATATTCATAGCAGTATTATTCACAATAACTAAAACATAGAATCAATCTAAATATCCATCAACAGATGACATCAAAAGCAGCAGTGGAGCTGGATAGATCAACCAAACCAAAAAAAAAAAAAAAAATGGCCTTGGAGAAGTGAAAGAGAGCCACCTAGTGGTTACTATAAGTAATGCTGTGCACACACAGCAGCAAATAACTTTGAATTCGTGTTTCCAAACCTTTAGGCTATATGTCTAGGAGTAATATTATTGGATCATATGGAGTTTCCTTTTTTTTGGCCACACCCAGCAGTTCTCAGGGCTTAACTCTAGTTTTGTGCTCAGGGGTCACTTCTGGTGGTGCTCGGAAGATTGACCAGATGGGGTGCCAAGGATGGAACCCATTGAATTATTTATGGTTAAAATTATGACAATAGGAATTAAAAATAAAACATCTAAGAATATGATTTTATTTATATTTTTAATTTCATAAACTCTGCAATCCAATGTGATGTGGGGGCTGGGAGTAGGACAGGAAAATACAGAACCCAAAAAACCACAGGGAGAGTAGGAAGACCAGAGACTATTCGGAGCACAGCGGGAAGGCCTGCTCTCCAGAGTGGCCTGGTGGCCAGAGGACAAGTCATATTCTTAGACCTGTCCACAGTCATAAATTGTCACTTTCTTGCTGGTTTTGCCATTTTTTGAACCGAAGCGCTCCATGGTCTCCACGATATTCATGCCATCGCGCACCTTGCCAAAGACCACGTGCTTGCCATCCAGCCATTCCGTCTTGGCGGTGCAGATGAAAAACTGCGATCCATTGGTGTTGGGCCCAGCATTTGCCATGGACAAGATGCCGGGTCCCGTGTGCTTCAGGATGAAATTTTCATCATTAAATTTCTCCCCATAGATGGACTTGCCACCCGTGCCATTATGGCAAGTGAAATCTCCACCCTGACACATGAACCCTGGGATGATCCGGTGAAAGCAGGAGCCTTTGTAACCAAACCCTCTCTCCCCAGTGCTCAGTGCACGAAAATTTTCTGCTGTCTTGGGAACTTTGTCTGCAAACAGCTCAAAGGAGATGCGACCCAGAGGCTTGCCGTCGACCGCGATGTCAAAGAATACGGTGGGATTCACCATGGCTGTGCTAGGTCGAAATCAGGCAGTGGTGGTGTCTGCAGGGCATAAAATTTAGTTTCAGATAGGCAAAAAAACTACATCTTTATGGGAATTTACATAGAATCTCTAAGTAGTTGGAGAAAGCAATACTTTTTAATTTAAAAAAAGTGTCTTTGTTTGGGCTATGCTACAGGCTATAGCACAGCGGGTAGGGTGTTTGCCTTGCATGCGGCTAACCAGGGTTTGATTCCTCCTTCCCTCTCCGAGAACCCGGCAAGCTACTGAGAGTATCCCGTCCGCATGGCAGAGCCTGGCAAGCTCTGGTGGCATATTCAATATGCCAAAAACAACAAATCTCACAATGGAGACATTACTGGTGCCCGCTCGAGCAAATCGATGAACAACAGGAGGACAGTGCTTGTTCGGGCAGAAATGATAGTACAATGGGTAAGGAGTTTATCTTGCATGCAGCTGACCTGAGTGATTCTCCAGCATCCTATATGGTCCCACGAGCATCATCAGGAATGATCCCTGAGCGTAGATCAAGGAGTAAGTCCTGAGCACTGCTGGGTGTGACCCAAAAATCAAGCCAGCGAAGTGTTATTATAATTCACTGTAGGCCCTCAGGTGAAACCCAAGTCTAATGCAAATGTGGTAACTCAGGGCAGGGGCTGGTAATGCCAGAAAGACCACAAGCTAGCACTAGAGTGAGGGCTCTGTGCCAAGTAGGAATAGCCCAACATTCAGGAAGAGGCGTGGAGACTGGAGCAGTCACATGGACAATGGTTCACATGATGATGCCTCCATACAGTGATGAACTTGGGATGACTTCCCTGACTAGACATATCATAAAGTTGGCAGGGGGGAAAGAGGGAGCCACACCCAGTGGTGCTCAGGGGCAATGCCTGGTGGTATTCTGGTGAGACTGTATGTGATACTAGAAACTTGAACCAGTTCATGGCCACAACTGCATGCAATGCAACTCCTTTAACCTCTCAACTGTGTGTGTGTGTGTGTGTGTGAGAGAGAGAGAGAGAGAGAGAGAGAGAGAGAGAGAGAGAGAGAGAGAGAGTTGAGTTAGTTAGTTCTTGGTCTTTCTAGCAAATGGCTGAGCCTGCAGATAACTAAGGGAATCCCCAAATCTGTGGCTAAATGACTTAAGCGTGATTTTGAGAACCCCTGATTTTGTAGCTGGAATCTGAAGTTGGGGCAGTTTTGTGGGTAACATTTTTTCAGACCATCCAGCTGGATACAGGCTGCAACTTTTTGAATGTTATAAGTGATTGTTTTAATTTCTACTTGCTTTTAACAAATACTTAGTTGGCTTTATGAGAGGCTCTGTTCCAACATTTCACAAAGAGTAAATATTCTCCTAATAATCCTACTTTGGCACTTAATTTTTTGGATATTGGCTCTTAAGCCTATATTCTGATTCCATCTACTGTTTCAAAAGTGCTGTTTGAGAAGTTTCTTGGGACTCAACTTGTTTTGTTTTGTTTCAAGGCACACCCGGTGGTGTTCAGTAGTTACTCTGACTCTGTGCTTTACTCCTGGACGGGCTGGGGGTTACCACACAGGGTGCCCAAATGGAGTTCAGTCTGACGCTGGCAAGGCAAAAGCCACCCTTGCAGTTCTCTATTTTGGGTCCGTGTTTTTGGTATTTCTTAAAAGTCGAAGCTATTTAATCAGTTTCACAAATACACTGGTACACACGCACACACACAGACACACAGGCACACACACGCTCAAGGACCCGCAGTGACCCAATGACAAGATCAGTCTCTGAAGTCTGACTTCAAATGTCCCGGAAAGTCTCTCAACCACTCGGGGTCTCAGCTCCCGAATTTGTAAACCTGCTTCTCTGTCAACTATTCCCTGGGTAAGAGGAGGTGGCGGTGGTGGTGAGGTGGATTCTGTCTTTCTCAAACCACTGGCCACAAACATATTATGTCCTGAACATTCGAGGTCCCTGGGGCTTTTGGTCTCTGCCTTCTTGTTTCTCCGTGTGTCTATGACACAGCAAACCCCGAGGGCGCTGACCCCCACCCGGCTTCTCCGTGCCCACCTCGGCACCCGGCGCCCACCGCTCTCTGAGTTCACGACCTTGGAGGGCGCGGCTCACTAGCATCCAAACCAGCAGCGCTTATGAGGTCGCCCCCTCGGCTGCTACCGTCTTAGCACAGGAAACGGTTCGGGGCTCTGGTGCTCAGAGCTAACAGGAAACCGGCTCTGAGGCTCTGAGTCTTCCCTGAGGTTACCCGACTCCAGTGACAAGCTCAAGGCTGCGCGCGCTCCAACTGCCGACCGCGTCAAGCCCCCCCCCACTCAACCGTCACCCTCCCCGCAACACGCTCATGCTCACATCAATCAGACACACGTATGCACACCGCACGCACACACATGCACGCATACACACAGCACACATGTGCGCTCACACACGCATACATGCGCATACACACACAAGCGCGCACACACATGCACGCATACACATGAACACACGAGCGCAAACACACGCACTTACAAACACACAAGCGCGCACACACGCACACGCGCGCGCGCGCACACACGCACGCACACACATGCACGCATACACACACGCACACATGTGCGCTCACACACGCATACACACGCGCGCGCACACACATGCACGCATACACACGAACACACTCGCGCAAAAACGCACTTACACACACAAGCGCGCACACACGCATACACGGGCATACACATGCAAGCGCGCGCCCACACGCACGCAGACACATGCACGCATACACACACGAACACACGCGCGCAAACACACGCACTTATTAACATACACACGCGTACACACGCACGGGCTCACACACTTGCACGCATACACACGCACACACGGGCGCGCGCACACACACACACAAACACACAGCCGCTTCAGGACGGCGCAGGGACACGCCGCCGGTTCTTTTTGGCTGACGGCGCACACGGGCGCCTCAGGCGGGTGCAGGTCCCTGCAGATAGGGTCGGGGATGTGCAGCGGAGTGCCCCGGGCTGCAGCACCTGAGCGTGCGTGCTGCTCCCCAGGGCCGCCCTGACGTGGGCGGGGGGTGCCGGGGCTCCGCCCCCTGAGCTCTGCCCCAGGGGGCAGGCTCGAGAGCTGGACCCCGAGTCCACCAAGTGTCAGCGGGTCTCGGTGCGTCTGGGGAGGCCACGGAGTGGCGGACGTGCGGTTCAGAGAGGATCTGCGCCCTGCGGCCGCAGGGTCACAGACGGTCAGTCAGGGGCGTCGGGGCGCGCGGGATGCTCGCGGGTCAGAGGGATAGGACCCGGGCTGGTGTATTTCCCCCTCACTTCTGGTGCTTTTTCTTGATGGTTTTCCTTGCTGGAAGCTTAGAGATCGAGTTTGTGAAATCGAACTGCTGGAAGAACCTTGCGTCCCCGCACGCCGCGCTCACGGTCCAGATTGTGCAGCATCTGGTGGTATTCGCCACCCTTAACTTTGAGAACTTTTTTGTTGTTTAAGAGCCACACCAGCGATACTCTGGGCTCCCAGCTTAGGAATTACTACCGGCGGTGCTCAGCAGACCTTATGAGGTGTTGGGGCTCAAACCCGAGTTGGCTGCATGAAAGGCAAACGCCCGACCTGTTGCATTACCTCTCCAGTCCTAACTATGGTCTTTAAAAACTCTCAAAGTCCTAGTTCCCCTGACACACGGAATAGCCCATTCTCCATTCTCCGCGACTTTGTTCTCTGCGGGAGAATGGAATTCCTTTCTCTCCTCTTCACATCCTATCTGACCCTGTACTGCCGTGTCTTCCTTCTGCTGGGTGAACTTTATGCAAGTTGTACTGTTTCTGTCTACTTTCTCTCTTCTCGTGAATTTTACATTCTATTAAAGGGGTAGTTCTCTTTGTTAGTTTCCAGAACACGGTTATGTAGTAGTGTCTTGAGCAATTTGGGAGGATTGCTGTCATCAATTGAGTCCACCCCCCCACACCCCCCCCCCCCGTTATTACAGGGCATAATTAGATCAAACCAGAGCTCCAGGCTGCTTCTACTTTTTTGTTTGTCTGTTTTGTTTTGTAGTAAGTACAACTACACACAGTTGTACTTACTCCTGACCCTGGGCTCAGGGACAGGTGCCAGAAACCAGGAATTGAGCTCAGGTAGATCTCTTGCAAGGCTTGACCCACTGTTCTATCTCTCCCGCCCCACATTTGATATTTTAACAGAGAAATCCAGAAGCCAGAGAGATAATACATCCGTGCAATATTTCCCCAAGCACCCCTGCAGGGGAATGCCTGAGGACCAAGGGGGCAGTAGCCCCCAGCACCCTGGGTGTGGTCCAAAAATTCAAAAAAAAAAAAAAAAAAGAAAGGTCAGTGCATCTTTGCTTCGAAATCTGGGACAGAACCAGTCATAACTTAATACAGTTGAAGAGCTCATTTAGGCTTCAGAGTTGCTCTGAGTTGGAAGATGTTTACAGATTATAAATCAGACTTCTTTCAATAAGAATTCCTTTATACTTAAAGGACTTTGAAAGGTATAGTCCCTAACTTTATTTTTTCCATCTGTTTTGTGATCATTTTATTATTTATTCATTGGGGGGGGGCACATCTGGCAATACTCAGGGATTCCTTCTGTTCTGCTCTCAGGAATCACCCCTGGTTGTGCTCAGAGGGCCATATGGGATGCCAGGGGTCAAATCCAGCTCAACTGGGAGCAAGGCAAGCTCCTTACCTGCTGTACTATCTGTCCTCTAGTCCCGAACTTTTCTCTTTTTGCTTGCTGTTACTGTTGATTCTTGCAACCTTTTTGTTTCATATTGGTGCCACAACCTATCCATGAGATATACATCTCCAAATCTGTGGTTGGGGAGGGGGGTTGTGGTCATACAGGTATAGTCCTGACCACAGTTTGAAGGTTGAGCTTGGCAGTGCTGAGGGGACTGTGCTGTGCAGGGGATCAAGTTAAGGTCATCGGCTTGCAAGTAAGTACCTTAAACCTGTGCTATGTCTGATAAATCTTTTTAAAATTTGGTCGGGAAAAGGGTCTGTCAATAGAGAGCATGCTAAAATAAGAAATTTCAAGTAAAGAAAGGAATTATTGTTTTGTTTGTTCTGGGGCTACATCCGGCAATGCTGAGGGTTTATTCCTGGCTCTGCATTCAGGAATTACTGCTGGCAGGATTGGGAGACCGTATGGGATACTGGGGATCAAACCTGGGTAGCCAAGTGGGAGACAAGTGCCCTACCTACTGCATTGTTTCTCTGGCTCCACAAACAGGAATTTTTAAATTGGACAGAATTATGTTGAGTCCTTGTATTGTTTGTGGAAAAAAAATGGGGCAGGAGGCATACCCATTTGTGCTCAGGACTTAACTCTTGCCTCTTTACTAAGGGATTACTCCTAGTGGAGCTTGGGCAACCATACGTGGTCCCAGGGATTGGATCAGGTCATGTGGGTCAGCCACTTGCAAGACAAGTGCTTTTAATGATGTACTATCTCTCTCGCACATTTCTTGAAATTTCAGCCCCTGGCAGTGCTGGGGATCTAACCCAGGTCAGCTGCTTGTAAAACAAGTGCCTTACAAGCTGGGCTGTCCCTCTGACCCCCATAACTTTGAGGGAAAGGGGAGTTTACATTCACTTTTTCTTTCTGATTTTTTTTCTTGTCGGGGAGGTGATTGGGTCACACCTGGTGGTGCTCAGGATTTACTACTGCCTCTGCACTCAGGGATGACTCCTGGTGGGCTCTGGGGACCATGTGAAAGTGCCAGGGATTGAACCCAGGTCTGCCATGTACCAGGCAAACACTCTACCCACTGTGCTATTGCTACAGCCCTTCTTTTTTTTTTTTTTTTTATTTATTGAATCACTGTGGGAAAGGTTACAAAGCTTTCAGGTTTATGTCTCAGTCATGCAAATATCAAACACATTTCCCTTTACCAATACTTATTTTTTACCATGAAGAACCCCAATAAAACCCCACCCCCCACCCCTCCCCGTCCCTGTGAGGCAGATGAATTCTAGTTAACACTCTATCTGCTTTGATTAGATTCATTGTTTCAATAAAAGATTCACCACTATTATTTAGAGTTTACCCCCCCCCCCAAATCAGACATGCTGAAAAAGCATTGTGAAGTGATTTGCTTTCTACAGCTGGGTTCAAGAATTAAATGTTGGTTTTGGATTTCTGCTATTTTACCTATTGACCCTGGAAGTATTTCTACTGAAAGTCAGATAGTTAAGAAATTGGTTTCTGTGTTCTGGAGTCGTGGCCGTGCTGGAGAGCCGCTCGCGGGGGGACCGGTGGCCTCGGTAGGGCGTGAAGGGCAGAGCGAAACGCCCCCCTTCCCATGAGGTTTTAGTCGCCCCCACACTCCCGGCTCATACCTGCTACAGCCCTTCTTTCTGAATCTTTTGAGTTTTTGGCCATATGGAGCAGTGGTCAAATGGTCTAATTTTATACAAATCCACTTTCTGTATAAAAGAGAGGTTTCACCACTCATCCCTAGACCTTAGTGCAGTGAGAAACTGCCTTCCAGGAAATAACATTTTGGGGCTGCACTCAGCATGCTTGGGGAACCATGGACTCAAACCCTGGGGCCTTGGCAGTGAAGCCTCCCAGTCCTTGTAATATCAAAATCTGTTTGAACAATTCAAAGAAAAATCCTAGAATGTTCAGCTTTAGAGAGTGAAATTTTGAAGGTGACAGGATGAGCTTTCTCCCAGATAACAAACTACTGCTTTTTACTGGTTGTCTTCTGTGAGGGTTTGGATGAGTAGATTGTAACTGGAATGTTAATGAGTTCACTCATTTGAATTCAGATGTAGTTTGGCCATTTTTTATCCTGAGGACTTACGACAAAGTGTACTCACTATAAAGTAAATTTTTTTTAGTAAATAATAAGCAAGTGCCAAGTATTGACAATGGTATACTTAAAGCACCTACAACAAGGTACAACATACCAGAAATTACATACTTGTTACTATTTAAGATTTTACTATTGCAGGGAGATGATTTTGTGTTTGAGGGAGTGTACATATTTTTCAAAATTCTTTTCAGGACAAAACATTTGAAGACTATAGACTTGGGAATCACTTATACATACTTCCAGGTAAATCTAATACAAAAAGTTAAGAGAAAAAGAAACAGAATATTTGGAACTTTGTATCACCCTTTTTCTTGATCTTTTTATACCTCTCATGAAAGGTGAATTTGATAAAAAAAATTAATAAAAAACGTTAAAGTTGTACAAGAAAATAAGCAAAAGATATTATGGGATTTGATACTATTTTCAGAGCAGAAACCAAGCTACGGACCTGGGTTTCTGTATCAGAAGCAACCAGTGCTTACAAAGATTTGTACCACGAGTGTACAGGAGATCAGTGGGCGAACTTTGGAATAACTCTAACACTATCTCTTTCTTAGGGAAGGTAGTATGTTCTGGATTCTTTCAAGGGTGCTCACTTATTCTTGTCTGTTTCTTCATCAATAAATGGGAATGGGTAAGAAATAATTTTATAGTAATTTTAGGGCATAATCTTACCATTCTTATGAGTAGTCAAAATAGTAGGGGGAGTGGAGTTCATGCCCAATATCAGCTTATTCAATGGCTGAATAAATAGCAGTACTCCTACATTTAAAAAAATAGTAGGGGGAAATCTATGAAGGAAATCTATAGCTGTAATTATTTGGTCCTAGAAAAATTGTGCCCTCCTATCAGATTTGATTACATTTCTGGACTAGAGCAGCTGTTTGGAAAACTCTGATGTTAGGAAGAGTTATCTGAGCACTGAGGGCCCTATTGGATGTACCTAGTAAAGATGTTAGGCCTTGTGACCTGAAAGACAAATAGCAGTACACTGAGTTATTGGAGAGTCCTAAGTTTAATGAGCAAAAAATGTACAAACGTGGAAGATGAACTAACACAGCCAACACCTTGAAGAATTTCAGGTACTCTGCTTATGCTGCAGCATAGTGTCTGAGTGAAGAAACAAAGAGGCAAAGTTCCAAGCAAGGGTAAAATTTTGGATGACTTGTTAATTGTTGTAAGGGTGGTTTATCTAGAACTATGTAAGAGTCTTAAAATAAAGGAGTGAGTTTTACTTCAAAAGATCACTCGGGCTGCCATGCCATCAACAAAATGGAGAGAATCATAAAAAGTAGGGAAATAATTAAGGAGGCTTTTAAATTAACACACATGCAATGTTGACCCAAGTTGAGGTTTAGTCACTATACAATGGTGACAGAAAATTCAGGAGTTTTCAGGGTTAATTAGTTATTTGGTGTTAGGGCAAGTGAGAGAAGGGTAAGTCCTAGGTTTGACTGATGATTTGACCAGGAAATTTGTCAAATACAGACAGTAAGCCACTGAAGTGTATGAGCTTTAAGTCAACAGAATTTAAGATTGTGTGAATATAGGCCATTTGGTGTTTAACATCCATCCAGTATCCTGCATTCTCCCTTCTGGCTATATCACATTCCTCTTATTTGTTTGTTCAATATTTGTTGAGCACCCTGTTTCCATTCCGTTCATTTTTCAGTACAGAGAGACTGACAACAGTAAGATGGAACATAGCTTAGCAGGTGGAGCAGAAACTCAGGAGCCATTGTGATTAGCTTTGAATCCCAACTCTGTTGTGTCCTAAGCAAGACCATTCTGTTCCTTAGGTTGCCCACCGATAAACTGGGAATCGCAATAGTACTTACTTCATAGCGTGATGGAGAACATTCCATCGGTTCATCAAGTACAATGACTTATCTAATGCTTATTACATGAAAATTACAAGAGAAGTGCGGATTTTCTGATAGTCTTTTAGATAGAGCAATAGAGATAAGTAAAGTATGATAAGAAATAGAATGTGAGAGGTTGGTCTAGAATGATCCAGAAAAGCCTACCTCATCTGGGAGCATTTGAACAAAGATTTAGGTGAAATGTTGTTAACAGAAGTCCAGGCAGAGAGTAAATGCAGAGAGCACACATGCTTCACATCCTAAGCATAATAAGAAGGCCAGTGGAGCTGAATGGACAAAGGTGGGAATTGAAATCAGGATACACAATATAGGATCTTTGTTGAGTTTTCTCTTCTCTTCCTTCTGTGTGCTCAATCACAGGCTTCAGAAATAGGTGTGTAAATTAGAGTCAATCAAAGCTTACACTGCAATTAGCCCAGTTGCATTTAGTGCCCAGTCATGAGCTGACCCCGTTTTGATCCCCAGTATAACATATGGTTCCCCAAGCAATACCAAGAGTGATCTTCCAGCACTGCCAGGGGTGAATCCAAAACCCTAGATATATTTATAATTCAAAATAAGATAATAATTCTTTTGCTTTTTTGGGTCACACCCGGAAATGCTCAGGGGTTATTCCTGGCTCTGCACTCAGGAATTACTCTTGGCGGTGCTCGGGGGACCATTTGGGATGCCTGGAATCGAACCCAGGTCAGCTGCGTTCAAGGCAAATGCCCTACCCATTGTGCTATTGCTCCGGCCCCCACTGTCACTGTCACTGTCCTCCCATTGTTCATCGATTTGCTCGAGCGAGCCCAGTAACGTCGTGAGACTTGTTGCTACTGTGTTTGGCATATTGAATACGTCACAGGTAGCTTGCCAGGCTTTGCCCTGCGGGCGAGATACTCTCGGTAGCTTGCAGGGCTCTCCAAGATGGGGCTCCAGCCCCCATTAGATAACAATTCTAAGCAGTTGGATGAAAGATCATCTTTACTGACGAAACATTCTTGTCTTTGAAATGAGTCTCTTATGTCTGGAATGATCTTTCTTTTTGAAAACTTCTGTATAATGAGTAATGGACATTACTATTTTTCCCCCTGACACATTTAAATCAGTCTTTTTAAATCAAAGAACAAAAAAATGAGATAGTAAAGAATATTCTTGGGAAAGGATAAATAACATAAAAGAAATATTTTATTATAAGCCTTTGATAGTGTATTTGTGTCTGCACACAGAGAATTTGAATGAGCTATTTTTCTTCAGTAATGTGAAAAAACTGCTGATGTCAATTGTTAATAGAGATATGCAGGCCAGAGGAATAGAAGAGGGTTTAGAGCATACACAGGGCTTTGGCACACTGGGTCTAAGACACAACACATCTTGGCCCCAACCTTGGACTGTCTGCCTGTTTGGCCAGATACTGCCAGGATTGGCCCGGGGTACCCTAAAGACAGAGTGGGAGCTCTCCCACAACATAGTTGTAACAGGTATGCTTACACACTTGAAGAAGCTACAGCATTTGTTGGAAATAATTTCGTATATGGCTTAAGTGATAAATTTTTAACTTAAAGCCTCTAAAATTCTGCCTTTCTACCATGTTCACAGAGAACTATAATATTGGAAAGTATTTTAGTCATCTGCAGCCTCAGTTTGGAGATTTTGTAAGAGTGTCTTCTCGTTGACCTCTCGTTGTGTACTGTTTTAATTTCACACCCTGTAGGTTTTGAGGTTGGAGCCGTGTTCCGGAGTTCATCTGGACTCACCATGCCGCTGGCTGTTGGAGGCCCCCCTGACTACACCCCCCCAGATGGAGGCTGGGGGTGGGCAGTGATGGTTGGAGCTTTCATTTCCGTTGGCTTCTCCTGCTCCTTTGCCAAATCCATTACGATATTTTACAAGGAAATTCAAGACATATTTCATGCCAGCACCAGTGAGGTATCATGGATCTCCTCCATCATGTTTGCCGTCATGTATGCTGGAGGTAAGAACTACAGAGCCAACTTCTCCCTCAGCTCGCAGTCAGGGCTTCAGTGATGAGACAGCAGGAGTGTCAGTCCATAAAGCTACCTTATAGAAGTCATAGTTGTCATTCCTTTTAATAATAAAAACAATAAAGCAAACTGTGTGCTCTGTTAGATCAGTCTTCATAACAATCACAAATCACAAATCATCCTGTTATTCGTCGTTTGCCTCAAGCAGGCCCCAGTAACGTTTCCTTCATCCTAGCCCTGAGATTATATTCAAGGCTCTTTAGGAGAATGAGACCCATCATTGTTACTGGTATTTGGCATATTGGGTACGACACAGGGAGTTTGCCAGACTCTGCCATGTGGGCAGGCTACATTTGGTAGCCTGCCAGTTTGTCCAAAGTAGGAATGAGATAATAAGATATCATAATAAGATGTCTTCATAACATCAGTTACAATAGTATCAAACATCGCTGTCTAGAATAATTTTCTTTGTTTTGTGTTGATTGTTAGAATGTAGAAAAGCAATTGATTATTTTTGAACATTTGTCCTTTACATTTGCTAAGTTATTGTCATTCCCAGTTATTTATTGGTAGATTTTTCTCAAAAAAATTTTAGATAGATAATATCTCCTGCAAATACTGATAGTTTGGTTTCTTCCTTTCCTTCCTTTCCTTCCCTCTGTCTTACTACACTGGCTGGAAATCCTGTCTAATATTGAAGAAAAGTGGTGATGGTATGCATTCTTATTTTGTAGCTTTAATTTTGTTTTGTTATTGTTTTCATGAGAAACAATATAAACCTTAGTGAGTGAATATGCTCTAAACTCAGAAGTTTGAACAGCTGTGCTCAGACATGTATTTCATCTTCATGTATATTTACTCCAGATGAACATGTCATAATTAAAAGAAGAAAATGTGCTACATACATGTGCTACATACATTGATCATATCTTACATACATGAAGACACCTTTGACTTATAAGTGCAGATGATATTTTCAGTCTATTCTGCATTTGAAAATAGGTTAATATCTTTCGCCCTTTAGTAAAAAATGGTGTTATGCTGTAGGTATAGAGATGTACAATTGATATAATAGTTTTATTTTCACACAACTGATGCTGTAGTTTTACTAGGGTTATACTATTTCTCATCTGACTATTGTAAGGGCAGAAGGAAGTCTTCCTTACCAGTGCTGTCTGTTGCACCTGTTGATTTTTTCATGTGGGGAAGGGCCATTCTTTCCTGACAGTAACGTGATGTGTGGTGTGGACAGGATGGGTGTGCTGCTCTTCTCTGTTATTGAACTGTTGGTTCCCCTAGGTCCCATCAGCAGTACCCTGGTGAACAAATACGGCAGCCGCCCCGTGATCATAGCTGGCGGTTTCCTGGTTGGCAGTGGCTTGATCACTGCATCTTTCTGCAACACTGTGCCGGAGCTGTACCTATGTATCGGGGTCATTGGAGGTGAGTTGTGGCCAACGTATTTTCAAGCAAAAATTTGGGGGGTATGCTAATTAATTAGAGCATTTTTCTGTCAGTCTCTCGAAAAGTACAATTTTCTTCACTAGAAAAATGGCTAGGTCTCTTTTATTTTCTTCCTTTTAAATTGTTTGTGTTTTGGGGTTTTGAGCCACACCCATAGGTGCTCAGGCTTATTCCTTGCTCGGTACTCAGGGATCACTCTTGACGGGGCTCAGAAGACTGCATGGGATGCCCAGGGGTTAAACCCAGGTCAGCTGCTTGCAAGGCAAGCGCCCTGCCTATCTCCCCGCCCTCTATTTTTTCTTGAATTATTAGTTTCTTTTCTTTCCCTCCCTCCCTTCCTCATTTATATTTTTAAATCTGTACTTTTCTGGGGGGCGAGGAGACTTGTTTTTTTTTTGGACCACACGCAGTGATGCACAGGGGTTACTCCTGGCCCTGCACTCAGGAATCACTCCTGGCAATGTTTGTGGGACCATATGGTATGCCAGGGATTGAACCTGGGTTGGTCTCGTGCAAGACAAATGCCCTACCCACTGTACTATCACAGTTTCCACCTTTCCTCCTTTCGTTGCTAAGTTTTTTTCTCCCTCCCTCTTTCCTTTTTTGTGGGAGTGGGAGTGGGGTTAACAAAATCACTTAAGGAAAGGGTGTATTGGCTGCAAATGTCTTTCCATCCAACAAAAAAAATGGCTCCAATGAAAGAAATGTCAACAACAAAGCAGTAATCTTCTGGTCGAGAAGCCAGTTATAGCTCCAAGGGCTAAAGGTCTGGAGGAGACACTTGCCCCACATTCTAATAGCAAAAGAACATAGATCATCCGGCATGGCTGCCCCCCACAATAAATCTCTGCTCTGATGCCATATCCACTCAGACATTTTTGTGCACATAAATATTTTAGAACAAAGGGATGAGATTATGGATAATGTTTCTAGTGGTTTGTTTTTCACTTAATTATAACATTAATACGTGCAAGTCCCTGTCTCGTACTTCTGTATCTCATTCGCATCCCTCTTCTTTTCTGAATTCATGAGAGCCTCTTTCCTTTTTGTTTTTACTTACCTGTTCCTAAGAAAAGCTAAAACTGTCAAGTTAAACAAAAGGCATGATATTTGGGGCTGGAAGGATAACACAGCGGGTAGGGCATTTGCCCTGCATGCAGCCAATCGGGTTCGATTCCCAGCATCCTGTATGGTCCCCCAAGCACCACCAGGAATGATTCCTGAGTGCAAAAGCCAGGAGTAATCCCTGAGCGTTGCTGGATGTGATACACACACACACACACACACACACACACACACACACACACACACACGGCATGACATTTATTATTCATAAAAGGAGGTGCATTCTCCATCTTGGAGATTCGACTGCATCTCAAACTGAGACTATTTTCAGCTTTTTCCCTCTGGAGAAGCCTGTGTTCTCTCTTGAACACATGGATCTCTCTCTGTCTCTCTACTCTCATATTTCTCCAAATAAAAAAATTTTACTTCACTAAAAATTATTTAAATGTTGTTATCTTATATTGGCTACAGAAATATTATCAAATATTTATTTGATAATATTACACTAAATAATCTATCAGTTATAATAGCCTCCCTCATAATTATGATCTGAGTCTTTTACCATTTAGTCTCTGTCAAGTTATTTAATACAAAATGTGCTCCTGCCTTTTTTCTTTTTACAATGTATGACTCTTTTTCCCCATCCCACCAGGACTTGGGCTTGCCCTAAATTTGAATCCAGCTCTGACCATGATTGGCAAGTATTTCTACAAGAAGAGACCACTGGCAAATGGACTGACCATGGCAGGCAGCCCGGTATTCCTCTCAACCCTGGCCCCCCTCAACCAGATTTTCTTTGATATATTTGGCTGGAGAGGAAGCTTCCTGATTCTTGGGGGCATATTGCTAAACTGTTGTGTGGCTGGATCTCTCATGCGGCCAATCGGGCCCAAACCAGCCAAAGTAGGGAAAGAAGGGTCCAAAGAACATCTTCAGGAAATTGGAAAATCTGAGGCAGGAAAGAAGGCCAGTGAGTCACATGCAGAAATGAATGGTAGAAACCTCAAAGCAGAGAAGCAGTCATTCTTCCAAACCATTAATAAAGTCCTGGACTTATCCCTGCTCAGGCACAGAGGATTTATCTTCTACCTCTCTGGAAATATGCTAATGGCTTTTGGTCTGTCTGCACCTCTGGTCTTTCTTAGTAACTATGGAAAGAGTAAGCATTTCTCAAATGAGAAGGCTGCCTTCCTTCTTTCCATTCTTGCTTTTGTCGACATGGTAGCCAGACCGTCGATGGGGCTGGTAGCCAACACAAAGCGGATAAGACCTCGAGTCCAGTACTACTTTGCTGCTTCTATTATTGCAAATGGAGTGTGTCATCTGCTACTACCTTTATGCTCGACATATGTCGAGTTCTGTATCTACGCGGGATTCATTGGATTTGCATATGGATGGCTCAGCTCAGTACTGTTTGAAACATTGATGGACCTCGTGGGACCGCAGAGATTCTCCAGTGCCATGGGATTGGTGACCATTTTGCAATGCTGCCCTGTGCTCCTGGGGCCACCGGTGTTAGGTATAGTATGGCTCTCCATCTCGATGATTCCATAGACAGTTCAGAAGGTGACAGGAACAATGAGTAGCTTGCTGACAGCAAACCTTTCTTATTACCTCAGGGCTATCAAAATATCATTGCTGAAATATTGAGTTGAACTAAGGGAGCCATCAAGATGAAAGGGGTCAGGCTGGAATGATAGCACAGCGGGTAGGGTGTTTGCCTTGCACGCGGCCAACCTGGGTTTGATTCTCAGTATTCCATATGGTCCTCCGAGCACTGCCAGGAGTAATTCCTGAGTGCAGAGCCAGGAGCAACCCCTGAGCATCGCCAGGTGTGACGCATGAAAAAAAAAAAAAAAGATGAAAGGGATTTCCAAAACTATTACAAACTTGAATATTTGTTAAATGAATCTTTTCTGATATTTTGTTGTTTATTGTATAAATACATATTTATACATTCAACTTTTAAAATATTATTGAGGAATACATTTTAGCTGCAGAATTTATCTCAGCATTATATTTATCATAACAACCATAGTTATGAGGGAAGGGTTCATAGAGTGCCAGGGACTGTTCTAATGGTTTGATGTATCCTGTTACATCCAATAAGCCTATAAAGACTGTGTTGTTCCTTCCTTTACAATGAAGGAATAGATGCTTCTAAAAGTGAAAGAATTCTCCCAAGACACGTGTAGACACATTAAGGTAAAGGTAAAGGCCCTCCCGTTGATCGTCGATTTGCTCGAGCGGGCCCAGTAACGTCTCCATTGGAGACTTTGTTGTTACTGTGTCTGGCATATCGAATACTCTCGGTAGCTTGCCGGGCTCTCCGAGAGGGGCGGAGGAATCGAACTCGGGTTGGCCATGTTGGCCGCTTGTAAGGCGATCACCCTACCCGCTGTGCTATCGCTCACACATTAATGTCCAAAAAATCGTTGAATTATTGCTAAAGATACCAAGTCACCCATCTGAAAATTATTAATACGACAAAATACAGCAATAATTTAGACTTTGGATATGACTCTTGCTTTTGAGATTGCATTGTAAAGTAAGGAGAGACGCAGAAATTGTACTTCTTTTGAAAACACCAGCAACTTTTCTCTGTACAGTCAGTCAGTCCCAGGTTCTGCCAGTTCTCACCTTTTCAGATAAGTTCTGATCCTCCATTTCTCCAACACAGCTGCCCACCTCCCTTGGTTGCTGTCTCCTCTCCAGCTGCTCCTCATGGTCTCCTTCACTCTGGTTTGCCCAAGTCCCCTCCAGCTAGTCTTCAATCTCTTAAAACTCTAGTTGTTTTCCTCATTCTTGGGATGAAGAGGAAGTTCCCCAGTGAGGCCTCTAAGGCTCTGCAGGGCCGGACCCACCTCCCTCCTGCCGCTCACCTCCACCTGCCTGTTTGCTCTCTACTCCAGCAGTGTGGCCTTATACCCTCTGCTCCCCACATCTGCTTGTCTTGCTGTTCCTGCCTGGGTTCTTTTCTTCCTGAACATCTCCTGATTTCTGTAATCTTTGGCTTAATTTAAAGTTTAAGAGAAGTTTTCCTGACCCCAACCCCCTGTAGTCTACTTTCAACTTTTCTGTTTTGTTTTTGGGTAACCCCTGGTGTCATTCAGGATTTACTCCTGGCTCTACACTTAGGGATCATTCCTGGTGGACCCGGGGAATCATATATGGTACCGAGATCAAGCCCAGCTTGGCTATGAACAAGGCAAGCTCCCAACCCACAATACTGTCTTGCCAGACCCTGTAGTCTGCTGTCAGTCCCTCCTTGCCACACCTGACATAGTTTTTGTTTTTGCCACACCCAGCAGTTCTCAGGGATCACTGCTAGTGGGTCTTGGGGAATCATATGGGATGCTGGGGAGTGAACCTGGGTTGCCCTTGTACCAGAAAAGTTAACTTCCTCTTTGGTCCCTACATTTGTTTAGTTTTACCCATACAGCATTTTTTTATATTTTTAGGTCATCTCAATGATATATATGGAGACTACAAATATACGTACTGGGCAAGTGGTACAATCCTAATTACTTCAGGCATCTATCTCTTCATCGGCATGGGAATCAACTACCGACTTGCAGCGAAAAAACAGAAAGCAAAGAAGGCAACGGAAAATGAAGAGGAAGAGCAAAAAACAGTCACTATAATGGAATCTTCAGGCACGGGAGGCCCCATAGAGAAGAGTGTTCTCTTCTGAATCCATGCACAAGCAGTGCCGCCCTGCTCTCTAGCCTGCTTACCCCAGAGAGTGACATTTTATTCCTTTCCTTCCTAGCAGTTCTAAAGTGAATGTCGCATTCTTTGGGTGCTGAGCATATGTAAAAGATGTGCAAGGACAATAGCTTTTATGTGAAGTCTTGTTTTTAAAATTTTTATTAAAGCACCATGATTTACAAAGTTATTTATTGTTGGGTTTTAAATATCCTATTATGTTCCAGTACCCTTCCCACCACCAGTGTCTTCAACCCTCCTCCAGGTTTCCCAGATTCCCTCTCACCCCCATCCCCAGCCTGCAGTGATAGCACATCCCCAGCCTGCAGACACCTTTTTAACTTTAGCTGCTAACATTGGGTCTCTCATTTTCAGTGTTGTTGACCATGGTTTGGATATTTGGCTCAACCCCTCCTTTACCCACCCATGGACTCAGATCCCCTGACCCCTGCTTCTCCTTGCTTCCTATCTATCTCTTCTCCCCTCAATTTCTTTCCTTCTCTGATCTAAGAATCCCCCCTTTCATTTTTTTTCCTTTATTGGGGGGGGGTCATACCTGGTAATACTCAGGGGTTACTCCTGGCTCTGCTCTCAGAAATTACTCTTGGCTTGGGGGACCATATGGAATTCTAGGAATTGAACCTAAGTCAGCCATGTGAAAGGTAAATGCCCTACCCGCTGTACTCTCACTCTGGTCCCAGAATATACATATATATATATATATATATATATATATATACACACACACACACACACTCTTTGGGATTATATAATGGCGATGGCAATGTTCAGGGGCTACTCCTGGCTCTACGTTCAGAAATTACTCCCGGAAATGCTCAGGGGACCATATGGGATGCTGGGGATTGAACCTAGGTTGGCCACATGCAAGGCAGTCCTATCTGCTGTACTATCGCTCCAGCCCAGAATCCCCCCTTTGAAACATTGCTTTCCCACCTCCAATTATCATGTTAAATGAAGTAAGCCAGAAGAAGAAAGACAAATACAGGACAATCTCACTTACATGTGGTATATAGAATACTGGATAAAATATTTATTAAGGTATACATCACATGCTTCCTTTTCATCAGAGTAAAATTTCATGACTTTTGATAAGGTATTTGGTCAAATAACTGTAAGATCAGTCCCAATAGGAAATCAGTCCCATTTCCAACAGGCCGGCTCCCTGCTGCCCCTTTGCAGTCAACCCTTTCCCTTACCCATAGTCCCTAACAGCTGCTATTCTGGTTTCTGTCACCTCTGGTTTTCCAGAATAGAATCAGTGGGATCACATAATATGTAACCAGCATGAGAAAGATTTGGCATTTGTCCCAGTTCCAAGTAGGACGTTCCAAGAACCCTAAGAGTCTCTGGGATGATGAGTGTCTTGTGTTCATTACCAAGATGGCTGGTGGCTGGGCCCCTCACCCAACGTCAGATCAGGGTGAGGCTGGTCTCCAGGCTGACCAGTGGTTGCAGTTTCAGCTCACTCTGACTTCCAGGGGGCCAGATAGAAAGCATAAGTTGAGTTCAATGACTAATAGCCAATGAGTTGGTCAGTTCAGACTATGCATGAAATCTCCTGGAAACCCCTAAACTATGGGGTTCAGTTTTGTGGTTGGTGAATCCATTGAGATGTGTGTGGAGGGGACAGGGCGCAGGGGAGTTTGGCCACATACAGCAGTGCTCAGGAATCACTCCCAGTGCTGCATGAGTGGCCATATACAGTGCTGGGATCAAATGAGTTAGCAGCATGCATGGCAAGTGTCTAACTTGTCATAGTGTCTGTCTGTCTGATCCCTGTTTGCTTCTTTAAGATTTATACTCTCACTTTTCAGCTATAAGAAAAGATGAACTCCTGCAGTTCACTGCAACTTGAATGGAACTGGAGGGTATCATATTTAGTGAAATAAGTCAGAAGAATGACAAATATTGGGTGACTTCGCTCATCTGTGGTATATTAAGAAATAAAACATGAGAGTGGACGGGGGGATGGGGATGGAAGGGATACTGGGATCATTGGTGGTGGAGAATGAGCACTGGTAGAGGGATGGGTACTCTATCATTGTATAACTGAAACTCAAGCACAAAAATTTGTAAGCCTACAACTGTACCTCATGGTGTTTCACTAATAAAAATTTTTAAAAAAACATGAGAGTGGACAGTATCAAAGGATGACAAACCCTTGGCCTTAGACTCAGATGACCAAGCAAGGGATCAAGGACTTAGGGGAGGGAGGAATGAAGGGACAGACTAGAAATGACATAAAAAAAAAAAGTGGTAGAAGGGTCTTTGGCATTTTGGACTGCGGCAAAGATGCAGTAATTAGACACTAAACCATGAATGTTAACAGTATTGTAAACATGTGACTAAATATAGTAACCAGATAAACGTTTTTTTAAATGACTTCTGATCTGGGGCTGAAGAGATAGCTCAAGGAGCGAGACTACTCAGAGGCCCTGAGTCCAACTCCCAGGCCAAGGCTTTATTCCACATAGTCCTTCAAGCACTTCTAGGTGTAACCCCAGTGGCCCCCAGTACCTCTGGAACTGAGGGAATCTGGGAGCCCTTCACCTTGGTAGGTCCTCCCTTCTCCCACTTCCCACCCAAAAAAACCCAGATATTCTGGTGACTAAACATAAGAACATGTGACTTGTTATGTGGAACTCATGATAATAACAAAAAAAGGGCCTCAAGTGACAGTTCTGTTGATATTAGACAAAAGGACCAGAAAGTCCATGGGCTGTGAGTCATCAGGGTCTCTGTCCTGGGCAGTGCTTTGGGGGACACCATTCCTGTCGCTCTCTTCAGGCCATTGTATAACTTCACGGGAGTGTATAACTCCAGAAGCCAAAGCGTTCAGTGTTCCATATGTCAGGCATTAAAATTGTTCTCCAATATCATCATTCTGAGATCAGCATGAAAACAATGCATGGAGGTCAAAAAAGGTGACACTGGATGAAGTAAATCTACTTTTTCACACTTTTATCCATGGATATGATTGACGTTTACCACATGCCAGTTCTAAGTGCTGTTCTAGGCTTTGGAGATTCAACAGGGAGTAAAACAAAATGGTTTATGTTCCACTGATGGGCAGAGGAAGACAGTGAATAGTACCTAAGAAGAAAAGAGCAATTTTCAAATGAAGCAGAAGAAAGGAACTTTCTTCATTCATTCCTCTGATATTTCTTAGAGTATCTTCTAAGTGCCTGATTCTATGTACCGGATGGAGGGCATGAAATAAAGAACAAAATTCACTTTCTTTTAATTTGTGGTGCTGGGTATTTAAGCCAAGGCCTCACACATGTGAGGCATATGCTCTGCCACTGACCTACATTACCAGGCTTGCACTTGCTGGACTCTTAGCTCTAATCTCATGGGGAATTCGATCTAGTAGAGATCTGAGCACTGAGCGCATGGGATGTCTCCAACCCAATCCTGGGAAGGCCCAGAAGTGTTTGAAAGTGCATTTTTTTCTAAATTCTCAGAAAATAAGCATGCTTAGTTGTGAGATTTGAAGGTGGAAGGGTGCAATGTCTCTTGAGTGATGACTTGGACTGTCACAGCCTGCGTTCAGTGAGGGACCTTCCACACGTCACATTATTAACTTGAACGACAGCGAGCAAAGAATTGCTCGTAGAGTTTCCATTGTTCTTCTTAGTTACACTTTACATCCAGTCCACAGGAAAATCCAGGGAGGTCATAGAATTTCAAATAAATGTGTTTGCAGGAGTAGCTTTGTCGAGTCCTGCAACTAAAAAGGGGAATCCGTGTTAGAATTGGTCTGTGATTCATTTAATCGTATTGTTAATGGTTAACTTTTTTGTCTAAACAGACCTGATTATGCAAGAGAATAGCAGAGGAAGTAAGGTGAAGAGTAGACAGGAAGTCTCAGTGCTAAATTTCTATAAATATAAATTTATAGATCATAAATCTAAAATTACAAAAAGGAGACCAGAGAGATAGTTATAATGGGTAGTGTGATTTCCTTGCACATGGCCAACCAGATTTGATCCCCAGCACCACAGAGGGCCCTTAAGTCCCAACAGGATTGATCCCTGAGCACAGAGCCCTAAGTACAGCCAGGTGTGTCCCAACAACCAAACCAAACAAAAAAACTAAGATTACGAAAGAGAAACAAGGAAGAGAGTGCAACATTTTGGTCCTGCCCCCTTGGCGTGGCCTTCACCCCAGCAGAAGGGGGGTGTAAGTAAGATGCAGCTCATTGACTAGAGCTGCAGCTGTGGTGGATGGGCCTTTAAAGGCACACAAGAATGCAAAAGACAAACCCAGGGTAATCCTGAAGGTTAATAACTGGTCGGTCACTCAGATCCTGCACTAACATGAAGATGATGTGGAGACCCAAAGAGGTTAGCAATCTCATTTGCAATCTAACCTACTGGCGTTGTAATTCATAATGTGGTTTTTTTTTATTTCCTTGCAGATTTCCTTTTCTACTAGGCATTGCTCTCTCCAGAATTAAAAGATCCTCTCTCTCATTTCATTTACCACAATGCCCTCCAGTTCCATCCGAGTTTTAGCGAATGGTGAGGTTGTATATATTCTTATAGCTACAGAGTATTTTGTTGTGTGTTTACACCCCACATTTTTATCCATTTTTTTTTTATCAAAAAGCCTCCATCTCCCCCCCCCCCCCCCAGAGAGTCCAGCAAGCTACCGAGGATTTCCAGCCTGCACAGCAGAGCCTGGCAAGCTACCCATGATGTACAAAGTATGCCAACAACAGTAGCTAAAATGGGTCTCATTTCCCTAATCCTGATGGAGTCTCCAGCTGAGTTGGGAAGAATGAGAGGGCTTGTACTAAGTAGACGGTGCTCAAGTCAACGAGGTAAGGCACCCTGCAAGCATCTTGCCACCAAGGTGGCCCGCAAGAGCATACCAGACACGGGTGGTGTGAAGAAGCCGCACCGCTACTGGCCCAACACCATGGCACTACACAAGATCTACCAGTTGCCATTCCAGCAGCTG